ATAAATTACAGGAAGGTCTGTCTGTCTGTGTGTCTGTGTGTCTGCCTGTTAATCAAATATCTCTCGAACCGTTAGTCCGATGGATTTCAAACTTGGCGGGTGTATTGCTACGGGTACGAGTAAGTGCAGTGCCAAGTTTGACTTTGTTTTGATAAGAAATGCAAAAGATATCGTTAAATATATCTATCAAAGAAGCACACATTGAAGTTGTGGTTTAAAGATAAACATTCTGACATTAGAGAGCACTTACGTATTGTTGTCCTACTGTTAGTTTAACTGCTTCTATTGTTCTCATTTGTAAGTCGCTTTGGATAAAAGCGTCTGCTAAATGAATAAATGTAAATGTAAATGTAGAGAGGGTTGTGGTTTAAAAATCGTGGTTTAAAAATAAACATTCTGTCAGCTAAACATTCAGTCAGCTACACTGTTTACTTCTGAATATTGTAGTTATTCAGAAGTAGAGTAGTTAGTTGTCAGTAGTTAATATATAGTTCAATTTTCCATATATATTGTATGTCATTATGTCAGTATCAGTATTTGCTTTCAACCATGCACAAATAAAAATGTCACTGAACTTTTGCTGTGTAATTGCACGATTGCTATGTCTGAGGTAAAACATGCCCCCCTCATTACCATACAGAGCAATAAATGTATAAATAAATAAATGTGAAAATAAATAAATGTATAAATAATAAATGTAGACATAAATAAATGTGAAAATAAATAAAAGTGGAAATAAATAATAAATAAATAAATGTTGAAAAAAAATAATTATACATAAATAAGGAAATACAAGTATAAATAGTCACTTTTTTAACATTTATTCGCATATTTATTTGTTTATTTATTCATTTTTAATTTCTGCAGGTTTGGTCCTCCATATTTGAACCACCAACCTTCCGGTTTGTAGACAACCTTCATGAACCAGTGAACCTCTGCCGCCCATATATGAAATAATATAATATATATATACTCAATCAGTTGTGGTGTGTAGTCTGTGACCAAGCGTTTCCGGAAGTTTCCTTTTCCAGATGCTGAAGAGAAAAACATGAACGTAAATGGCTAATAAAATTAATTAATTAATTCCTTGTGTATATATATATATATATATATATATATATATATACAAGGAATTAATTAATTTCTTTTTAATAAAATTAATTAATTAATTCCTTGTGTGTATATATATATATATATATATATATATATATATATATATATATATATATATATGAAATGAAATATTTCATCACAACTGATGAAATATTTTCTGTGTAAACAAGGTTCTCTTTTACTATCTGATTAAACCTTCCCTGCATGCATCTGCTGCCATCTATCTTCTAGATAGAGTTTTATCATGTTCCTGGACTGACTGTTTAGTTTATCATGTGCAAACGTTGTTGGTAAGCACATGTTCTTCACATTCAAGCCACAAAACCTTTTTGTTGTTGTTCAATAAAGTTTCACTCTGTTCTGAATCAAGCCTGCTTGGCCAATTAGATAACAGTACACAATGTGCTGTGTTGTGATTGGTGCTCTGTATGTGAATGCTTCCAACACTTTCTTCCTTTGTTTAGATGGTGATAGAAACTCTTGGGCCAAATCGCCTGGGCACCATGCCACCATTTGGGACAATTGTTGGTGTGCTGTTGCTACAAGGTGTTTTTTGACTTCCTAAATCAGAGAAACTCCACAGAGGAACGCTGTGTTCACTATAGATCACGTGACAGCCTGAAGCCAGATCATTCACCACACGTACACGTAGCTTATCTGTTTAGATGTGATTTATGACGTTCAGACAGAAATATTTTCTAGCATAGAAAGCGTGAGGAATTGTGTCCTAATGTGACACAATACATTCCTTTTTTAACATGTTACTTTCACATTCAATAATTATTTCTAATTTCAGGAAAATTTGTATTTTAATATTCAGTTATCATTCTGTTCTATTTAGTTAAACATTTGAATAACAAACTAAATATTGCAAGTCATTAAACAAAGAATATATTTCCTGATTCCAGTAAACCATTTGTTATACATTAACTTGAATGGACACTCTTCAGAATATTTATATTCTACTGCATGTCCATGAAGGAAGCAGTCTTAGTAATAATCATGTCACTTCTGAATTTTGATATAGACATTCATTAGAACAAATGTTCTTCACCTCTACTCTCTGGACAGTCTGCATAGTTAGTAATGAGTCCCAAGGATGACTTTTTTCACCCATGGGATGTGGATGCTTAACAGCTTGAGCAAAGGGGATTCATCTGAACTAAAAACAGACGCTGCATAATAAGTTGCCTTCTGGGACTGTGAGCCATACATAACCAACTGAATTGAAATCAAACAAAAGAGTTTACGACCATACATATTTTTATATATATATTTATTTATACATATAAACTCACCTAAAGGATTATTAGGAACACCATACTAATACTGTGTTTGACCCCCTTTCGCCTTCAGAACTGCCTTAATTCTACGTGGCATTGATTCAACAAGGTGCTGAAAGCATTCTTTAGAAATGTTGGCCCATATTGATAGGATAGCATCTTGCAGTTGATGGAGATTTGTGGGATGCACATCCAGGGCACGAAGCTCCCGTTCCACCACATCCCAAAGATGCTCTATTGGGTTGAGATCTGGTGACTGTGGGGGCCATTTTAGTACAGTGAACTCATTGTCATGTTCGAGAAACCAATTTGAAATTATTCGAGCTTTGTGACATGGTGCATTATCCTGCTGGAAGTAGCCATCAGAGGATGGGTACATGGTGGCCATAAAGGGATGGACATGGTCAGAAACAATGCTCAGGTAGGCCGTGGCATTTAAACGATGCCCAATTGGCACTAAGGGGCTTAAAGTGTGCCAAGAAAACATCCCCCACACCATTACACCACCACCACCAGCCTGCACAGTGGTAACAAGGCATGATGGATCCATGTTCTCATTCTGTTTACGCCAAATTCTGACTCAACCATCTGAATGTCTCAACAGAAATCAAGACTCATCAGACCAGGCAACATTTTTCCAGTCTTCAACTGTCTTCAATTGTAGCCTCTTTTTCCTATTTGTAGTGGAGATGAGTGGTACCCGGTGGGGTCTTCTGCTGTTGTAGCCCATCCGCCTCAAGGTTGTGCGTGTTGTGGCTTCACAAATGCTTTGCTGCGTACCTCGGTTGTAACGAGTGGTTATTTCAGTCAAAGTTGCTCTTCTATCAGCTTGAATCAGTCGGCCCATTCTCCTCTGACCTCTAGCATCAACAAGGCATTTTCGCCCACACAGGACTGAACCCTAGAAATGGTTGTGTGTGAAAATCCCAGTAACTGAGCAGATTGTGAAACACTCAGACCGGCCCGTCTGGCACCAACAACCATGCCACGCTCAAAATTGCTTAAATCACCTTTCTTTCCCATTCTGACATTCAGTTTGGAGTTCAGGAGATTGTCTTGACCAGGACGACACCCCTAAATGCATTGAAGCAACTGCCATGTGATTGGTTGATTAGATAATTGCATTAATGAGAAATTGAACAGGTGTTCCTAATAATCCTTTAGGTGAGTGTATATATAAATCTTTCTGAAAGTGATTCCGTTCGATACTGTTCCTCTGTGTTATTAGGGGCCAAGCACTGAAAGTGCGTAGGCACCTATAGAAATCGTTGGCGTAATAACACTGCCTGTGTGAATGCAATAGATTAGACCTGCAATACGAATCCAAGCAAATTACAAAGGATGCTATCCAGCAAGCACAGAACGTTCTAAGAATGTTCTTTTTAAGTTTTATTACCATAAAATAACGTCCCCTGAACGTTCTGGGAACCAAATATTATTAGCTGGGTAGGTACTGATAGTACTTTCTGAAAGCACTTAATATAGGCCAGTGTTATCTATAGAAAGATAAAGTGTGATTTAGACTGGAGGCTCATTGGAGGAACAAATGAACTCCAAGAGCCGAGGAAAGCCTTCAAAGGCTGTTAAAGAGAGGAGAGGTGAACAATTAACCACATCTTCTAGAGTTTTTATTTTGTGGGCTCTAACCGTGTCATTTCCTGTTTATCACACACCTGTTTTTGGGCCGACTGTCAGCACATACATCCTGGTAATAAAGTGAGTGAAAGAACCATGTATAATAGCAGTCTGTAAATAGCAGTGTCAGTAAGAGCAGGCATTTGAGGCATTTTATGTTATGAGTTAGGGTCTTTAAATGCTGTACTCGAGTCGCAGGCACTGCCTGTCTTACGTAAAAAAACACAACTATGAAAAATGGCATGGCTCTTACATAATCCCTCAGACAAAACAGCGCTGAAAGGTTTTAGCGTGCTGTTGATTTGCTAGATGCTTTTTATATATAAATAACTTCAAAATGTGGTTGTATCATTAAAAGTATCAAGGTAATTGTTTCAAGACCCTCAATGGAGAGACATGTTATCAAGCAGACTTGTCTTCCAAGTTGAAATGGTTTATTAATTTTTGCACCTTTTTTGTACCAAAAGTAAAACAAAAAAATCATTTACAACATTTTCAATGAATGAGATGAGACATTACTTGGTGTTAAGTGGCATTATCATCATTGGCTTCTTTAGCATAAAGCAGACATAGATAAGAATCTAGTTAAAAACAAGCCTGTGGCACAGATTCATTCATAACTGAATGCATGCTTGTCAGTATTATATATTAGACACTTAGATAAGTTGTATAAAAATGCTATAAAAAGACAAAAGATACAATTCCACTGAAGCATTGTGGCTCCATTTAAGATGAGCTTTAGCTAAGTATTCTGTGGTCTAAGACTTTCCAACTATACATAGATTGTATCTTCAATAAGCAAAGCCATCATCAATAATCATCGTCAAATCACTCAAAAGCACTGCGTCCTGACTGCAGCAAGTCGTGAACCTTTGCCACAGTTCATATTTTAACAAACTAATAAACCTGTTCTCATGACATTAACCTTACCGTCTCCATATTACTCCAGGTACTGGCTTTGATAGTGAAAAAAAAAAAAAAAAAGACATTTATTTACATCGTAATTATGCAATATGCAAAGGCTTTATGTTGCTTTGGGCAACCCTATATGAGCATCTATCAGAGTAATTTCCTCAGCACCTAAACAAACAGATGAACATCAGTCAAATACAATCACATCACATAATGTGTCAGATTGAGGACGGGATCCTGACACCCTTCAATTCTTAGCTAATGCCTCTATAAACGGGCTCCACTCATTCTTCTCTGGGTCATACACCTCCATAGTGTTGAGAAACTCATTGCCATCAAAGCCCCCGACAGCACAGAGCACACCGTTCAACACAGCCAGCCCTGCATTGCTTCGTGCTGACATCATGCTGCCTAACATTCTCCACTCGTTATTGGCTGGGTCATAGACCTCCACACAGCGCAGAGCGTGAGAGCCGTCAAATCCTCCAACCACAAAGAGCTTCCCTGGAAGCAGTTGGAAATAACTTGATTAAGAAATGAAGAAAAGTCCTGAATTGAACAAGCTTAAGTCATTTTCCTACCAGTGAGACTTTATAACCATGCTGGACTAGATGGAAATCTATACACCTCCTATTTTGTCTCCATTTACCTTCATACACAGCCACACCAGCTCCACGACGGGCCACGTTCATGGGGGCCACCAGGGTCCACGTGTTGTTGTCTGGGTTGTAGCGCTCTACTGAGTTTAAGCAGTTCCAGGACTCAGCGCCACCAATCACATACACAAATCCATTTAGCTCGCACACTGCTGCCTGGTGCCTCCCTAAACACAGAAGAGAGACGATGCACAGTGAGTAAACCACACATTTAGGTTTGTACAATACAAATCAAAGTCATTTCAGAACATAAAAGTGAATTGACATACTTATGTTGAGGGGTGCACAGCTGGTCCACATTTTTGTCACTGGGTCAAAAGAGTCACAATTCTTCAAGCCCTTTCGGCCACAGGGATCAGATCCACCCACCACAAAAAGCTTGTTTTGCAAGGAACACACACCTGAGAAGAAACAAGAAAAGCAATTATTATTTACCCCTTAATCAGAACACCTCCTGTTTGATATGTCCCTACTAGTACTGATGATATTGTAGTTTAAAATGACGTTTTTTTTTCAGTCTTAAGATAAACAATCTATTTAAATTACGTTTCCCCTGTTTTTAATAATGAACAGCGCATAATATTAAATGTTATTTATTACTATATTACAATAATATAACATACTGTAACATAATAAAGTACAGTAATATTTATGTGGAGACAAAATGATAAAGCAAACAAATCAGTTTTGATGATTGACGGAAAATGACATTTTGAACTTGTCAAAGAAATGAATCAAACTTGCTACTGACCCTACATTTTTTAATGATAATGTATCAAGTTTTTTTTTCCCCCATTAAATTGATCTAATGTGACACTAAAACATCATAATGTTACAAAAGATTTATATGTCAAATAAATGCCGTTCGTGTGAACATCGAAGAATCCTGAAAAAAAGTGTATATCAGTTTCAACAAAAATATTAAGCAGCACAACTGATTTCAACACTGTCACTGATAATAAGAAAAGTTTCTTGAGCACCAAATCTGCATGTTAGAATGATTACTAGAGTAATGATGCTTAATTTTTTTTACTGTATTTAACATTTGTGAGCATTACAGACTTCTTTCAAATACATTTAAGACTTTTGAACTGTAGTGTAACCAAATTTTCCAACTCTTACATAATTTGATACAGAATTTTCAGTCAGACAAAGCAGTACAATGACATGGTCTTAGGACGAAAAAAAAGCTCATCCAATACAAATATTCACTGTATTGTCCAGCAGTAAGTGATGCATACCTGCATTGCAACGGTTGGTGCGGAGCTCAGGAACTTGAATCCACTCGTCAGCCTTGGGGTTGTACATCTCTCCACAGCTCAACTCATCGGAGTGACCGTTGGAGCCACCCATCACATACAGCTCACCCTGAGAGAATAACCATTCATTCAGCTCTAATGGCAGCTCCAGCAATGCTACTTTAGGATTGGAAACCATGCACTGTCTTTACCATTAGCACAGCCATCTGGAAGCGAGCCCGTGGAGTGCGCATGGGAGCAATGAAAGTCCAGCAGTCCTTCTTTGGGTCATAACACTCCACCGTCCTCAAACACTCTTCTCGGTTGTAGCCACCTGGACAGATAATATGTACATCACATCTTCACAAACCTGTGACCTACTTCTGTTTCCATCTATGATAATTTGTTGTGTCATGCTGCTATGTGGCTCTTTTGTTTTTGTATTTGTTCTCCTCCAGCTCCACCACTATCCACTATCAACACTTGTTTGCATGAATTACATTATATAGCTCACATGACATCTGTGCATGTTCTGCTCTGACAATAAAGAGGAAAAAAAAAAAGAGAGATTTAAATATGTAAAATTATAAATGCTTAAAAGCATCTTGAAGGGAGCTGAGAAATAATACACTCTCACTGGAAGCTAAATGTAACTTAATTGAGTTAAGTCTAAAAATGCAATAAGTTGTATCGTTTCCTTTAAAGACCCCCTCTCACAGGAAAAACCTTTTAAATATATAATTTTGGTGATCAAACGAGTTTTGGGGATAAAATTATTGACTACAGGGTGACTTTAAGGATTACATACCTGCAGCAATGAGCTTGCGGTCCAGTTCAGCAGTTCCCAGGCCTGAACGAGCGTAATGCATGGGCTTTAAAAGCTTCTCCTGCAGATCTTCTGGTTGAGCCTCGAAGCTTGGGCTCTTCAGCACACACGGTGTAGCAGACGGGGAAGTATGAGGACTAGTGCGGCCATGCAGGGAGATCACACACAGTACGCCTCTCAGAACAGCCAGACACAGGTATGCATTGTCTGCAAAAGACATCTAAGTTAATTTAAACACTAAAAACTGGGTTCTCACAAAAATCTAGGATTTTTCTAGTAGATATAGATTTCAAAAATAATAATTTAAAAATAAATAAATTCACAAACTGGACATTTTTCGAGCAGAGTAAAAATAAAAATTCCACTATAGAAATGTATCACTTTAAGCATGGAAATCATGCTTAACTTAATTTCCTGATCTAGGAAACATAACCATAGGGACCCTGCATAAACAGCTATGGAATTTTCTAGCATGAAAGTTTAAGAAAAGAGATAGGTGAAGCACTATAGACTTACTGGTGGTCTTCTCTGATGCAATGTACTTCCAATCGTGCTTGTTGAACTGGCTGATGGAGGGAGAGAGGCTGCCAGAGGCGCCTGAGCTCATCTCGTCTCTCTCTCGAGGAGGCTTCTTCTGCAAAACCAAACCAGGCAGCTCTAAACCTGCCCAAACTTCACCCCTACCTCTACTGCATGCATACAGACTTGGGGCCAAAGCTTAAACCCATTCCATCCAGTGCCAATAGCACCATTTAAGGGGTCTTCCACAGTGCAAACACAGCTAAGACGAATGGTGGTTTACTGGTCTGCCTTTTAGTGCAAACCACCTGACACATGATCAAATGGCAGCCATGCTATTTTACAGCAGAGAAGGTAGCGCACTGGAAGGGGAGGACTGAAAACCAGTCATGTACCTGCACAAACTGGATGTGGTCATCCTCAGAGCTGCAGACCTCTGCATGCCCCTCAAGCAGGCTCCCATCATGTAATTTGTGATCTGCTGAGTAGTACAGCGTTTGCACCTGCAACAACAAAACACCAACAAGACCCATGTGGGTGTTTCCATAACAAGAACAAAGCAATGTTCTGCCTTGTTCCTTGAAGCAGTAGAGTCAGCTGCTATGAGGGAGGCCCTTGATAACCGTGTGCTGCCTGGACCTTGAGGGAGCAATGACCTTTCGCATGTCACTGTGATTGTGGAAATTGCTGGAAGGAGAGATCGTTCCTACAATAAGTTACTTCACTTTGGGTCAAAGAGCTATCTAAACAAATGATCGCTGCACAGTGGGATTGGAAAAAAAGCTGCAACGCTCTCAGGAACACTGCACAGATGGGAGCACATGGCTTTTGGTAGGTTGACTTAGTACCACTGATGGTTGGGATCTTGCATTCTTCTTCAGGGCTGGACAAATCTGCTGTTGGTGTGTATACTAAACCTACAGGAGATATGGGGAGATCAATGGGGAGGACCAGCAATTAGAATCAAATTAATAATAGTTCAAAAAGCCCTGTTGGGGAGAAAATGTTAAGTCACAAAGTCAATACAGTCAAGGGAACGAAAGCGAAGGGGGAAGATCAGACTGATCTAGTTTGTTCGGCTCACCTGGAAAACCGTTCAGTTTTTCAGTATTTTGAGGAGCACGTACTGCAAAATTTAAAAGGTTAAGGGCAAAACTTTGGGGACAGGGGAAGGGGGGAACCCGAGTCAACCTTTGAACAGAAATTCAGGAGACATGAGCAAAGCGAAAGGAAAGGGTACCTATAAAGCCATAATACTGACCTCTTCCATTAATTTCTCCAGGGGATATCCATTTTTCCACAGGCTGCGCTGCACCCAGCTTATCACCTTTGAGTACAGTTTGCCATTACCAGGCAAGTTCAGGTTCTCCTCTAGCATCACCTCCAGCTATATAGACACAGTTATGAATGGAATTATACAAAAAAAAAAGGTAAATGCAAAAAACATTTAGTAGTAACCGGTTTTAGATAGACATACTTTCAGTCGAGGAAGTTTAAGGAAATCATCCTGTTCTGAGATCTCCTGAAGATGATCCTGGATATAGCCATCAATCTTGCCCAGAAGCCGCCCATCAGCCATGCTACTAGCAAAATTGCGGTATGAAATGGCACTTTGGGAGTCCATTTTTGATAGCAGGTAGTCTCCACAGATCTGCAAAATAGGATTCAGGATATCAGCGAACAGTAATGTAGTCTATACATTAGAAAATTCTGACCATGTAAATGCCTGTACATACCTGTCTGACCCTCTCCAATTTGAGCTTCTTTGCTGCAGAATACACATCTCTGACCAGATCTTTATCTGCCTTCAGTCTGTCAACAGGGGAAGACGGGGATATATGATACCTGTATGTCTTTGACATTATAAATGTGTAATAAAAAGTTTAAATGCCAAGTGAATATATGTACTGGGCTGTGTAGGCATAGTTCAGCAAGATCTCCACAGCATCAGGGTTGAGGTCATCAAATTTAACCAGTGAAATCCCACCCTGTGGCTCAGAGTCAGCATTGAAGATTTCAAAGAGGCAAGGACTGCAGCAGGCCAGCACAGCCTTATGGGCCATAAGCTCATGTCCACAGACCTGTAGAACCACCACCATTATAAAGAATGTTATGAGTGGGTACAGAGAGCCTTATACAAAAGTTTGGGGTCAGTACGATACTTTTGGAAAGAAATGAATATTTATTCAATGAGGATGCTTTAAATTAGAGCTGCATAATTAATTGTTGTGATCTTGATTAAAACTAGGTCTATTAAACCTTTAACAAACATTCAAATCTGCGTTAGCGCTGCCGCTGAGACAGAGAGAGCCGCTGTCATGGTATGAAACAGTTTCACATAGTCTTTTCAACCACACACACAGTATCATTATTTCTCTGTTACAAAAGTTCAAATTATCACAGAAGTACTGGGATAAAAGTGTATAGTTTGGATATAAAAACAGATCTACGGTAGCGGTAAATTTTTTTTGGATCAATTAGATCGTTACACCAGTAGGTGGTGACATGTGACTTGAATGAACATTTCAATGACAAATTAATTTAAGAGATTTGTTCAAAAATGCTGATGCATCCAGAATTGAAACAAGTGAAGTATTTATAAGCGAGTCATTGAATCATTCATTCAAATCATCCAAACTTTAATTCATCAAAATCAAATATATTTTTTAAATAGAATGCAGCAATTAACATTTTGCCAATGTTATTTTGTTGTCTATATAAATCTCTCTATAGATTTTAAGCAAAATAAATAAATAAATAAAGTTCTCCAGAATCATGCAATTCTACATTAAATTGATCAAAAGTGACAGCAAAGACATTTAAAATGTTACAAAAGATACATACCGGTAGGTCAAATACATACTGTTCTTTAGAACTTTATATTCATTCAAAGAATCCTGACAATGTACTATCACGGTTTTGACAAAAATATTATGTTGCACAACTTTTAAACATTGAGAAATGTTTCTTGAGCAGCAAATCAGCATATTAGAATGATTTCTGAAGGATCATGTGACACTGAAGATTGGAGTAATGATGCTGAAAATTCAGTTTTGCCATCACAGTAATAAATTACATTTTAAAATATATTAAAATTGTATATATATATGTATATATATATATATATATATATATATATATATACACACAGCTATATATATATATAACTGTTTTTACTGTAGTTTTGATCAAATAAATGCAGCCTTGTTCAAAAACAAAGTCTTACTGATCCCAAACTTTTGAACTGTAGTGTACAGTATGTATTCATGTGTACAGTTTCACAAGGCATGTTTATTTTTTCTGAAACAAAGAGGGTCTTACCAACAGTCTGACATCACAAAACTGGCCACTTTTACGCAAAGCATTCATCTTGACCACAGTAGAATCAAGGAAACTCTCATCTTCAAATATTAAATATCCGTTGGGAGTCATTTTGATGAATCTATCAAAGTCAAGGTGGATGGAGGCAAACAGCAAAATGAGAACTGCTCTTTTAGCATTTACAAATATGTGAGGAGGAGGCCCACATGAAATCTGTGCTGTTTTGTACCACATTTTCTGCAATGACTATGTGGGGATATCTGCGTAATGGTCTGGATTTAAACAAGATATGCATTAAACTGAGCTTGGAGTACTACGCTTGTATTGGAAGCTGAGGGCATCATCAAAAGTAGCTAAATACTTAAAGGTTCTCTAAGCGATCCTGGGTGACGTCACTTCTTGTTGACGTTCGAACTATTGTCAAACAAAACGGAGGCTAGCTAGACCCTTCCTCCTCCTCATCCGCACACTAACCCCCCAAACCACACCCCCAAACCTTTCTTGTCGGTCATTGGCTGGAATAGTTTATTATGTTTCAGGGAGCGGGTCGCTGCAGTTTGCTTTTGTTGCTGTTTGTGGAGCCTGGGCTGTCTACAGAGATCGCGTTTCTTTACAGTGTGTTCAGGGGACAGGCAGCCAGCGGTTAGTGAGGAGATGTTTGCTGTATGTGACAAAAAAATTTTTGCCCTAAAAAACGCGTGACATCGCTTAGAGCACCTTTAATATATGAATATGTAAGGAGAGGGGGATGACGTGAAGAAGGGTGCTTTCACACTTGGTTCAATTGCCTGGTCCAAACAAGAATTCAATTGCTTCCCCTCCCCCACTGGATTGTGTTCACATTATAGTATTTGGGTCCGACTCGAAACCATGGTGCATTTGCATCAAAGCAGCAGCTGCTTTGCAACGACACCGGAGAAGGTGCCAAATGCAGTCATGAGTCATCAATAGTGGTTCATTTAGTACGATTGCGTTCATATCAGCAGCGAACCGTACCAGAGTTCACATGAACCGTACCCCAGATCACCTATGCGGACTCGAGCATGGTTTGCAGAAAACAGCGTTCACATCATCCAAATGAACTGAACTCTGACGTCAATTGAACCTGGGTACGCACTGCGCACCAAAAGTGCGAGTGTGAAAGCACCCTGAAATTCTGCAGATGTCCTAAACAGAAAGCTGTGAAAGTGTGTGGAACAGATTCCATGTAGGTCTGGTGAAAAGACACACCTACCAAACAGATGTAACAGGAGAACAGTCTTGCTCTAAGGCACTTTAGTAGACCTTTCAACAGAGAAGAAACAGTGGCTGCACCAATCTTGTCTGATGTCACTCAGCGGGTTAAAGAATACAAGTTCTACAACCTTGATTATGCATGATGACCTAAAGAAGTGAAAGAGAAACACACTGAATTCAACCATGACAACTCAACAACAGCTAATAAGAGGAAATGATTCTTGAGCACCAAATGAAATGAGCATATTAGAATGATTTCTGAGGATCATGTGACACAAAACTGGAGTAATGATGCTGAAAATACAGCTTTGCCATCACAGGAACAATTTAAAATAGGAAACTTATTTTAAAATGTAATATTACAATATTAGTGTTTTAACTGTATTTTTGTTTAAATAAACGCAGCCTTGGTGAGCATAAGATACTTTTTTCAAAGACATTACCGACCTTTATGTTCAGTTATAGTCAGGGGTTTACACACCTTTTCACCAATGAATTCCACTGAGGTTTCCAGTAGTTTCAGATTTCTGGCATATTTAAACTTCAACTATAAATATTTTACAGATAAAGAAAACTTTGTATTGCTTATAGAAAACCCCCTGTCTTTTCCAGGCCTGGAAAATCCCAACTAAATCACCCTGATATTTGTAGGTTTTCCAAGGCTGTGGGAACCCTAAAAGGGTTTAACAAAATTGTAACCACCAACTTGGACCAACCACCAACTATTTTTTAGTTTACATGCATCAATATTCTCGGGTCATATTATTTGACTCTAAACGACAGCAAATGTATTTAGAAAACAAAACTGATATTTAAGACCTAATACTTTCTAAACCCAATACATTAAATTTAATGTTCATAAACAAAAAAGATCCAGAAAAACTGACAATGCGCTCAGTGGGTTTTTTTTCATATTTCCGGGTTTAATGTTTGTTCAAGGCGCAAGAGACACGCGACCCGGAGCGCGAGGAGGAACTGAGCTTTCTAGATTAAACCAGTACCGCCGAAACAAACACACGTGACCTCTTCATAACCTTATATTCAAAACAGGTACAATATAAATAAACATCATATTACAGGTCTGGAGCAAGGTGGCGAGTCGTGTGACAAAGACAAGATACTTTAAACGTATTGAGTTATGGCATTACGATTTAGGCAGAACGAAACCCTCAGACACCATTCAATTTCATTAACTTACATCATTTTGCAATTCAACGGAAGTGAATGGTGACTGAGGATGTCGGTCAATAACAACAGTCTGCCTAACATCTGTCATTTTCATCTTTAAGCGAAATACATCTTTAACTGTGTTAGAAATCGGACATAACATGGTGTTAAACTGGTCATGGACCATGGTTAAACGGTCAGTTAAAGTGCTATGATTCTGATCTGTGAGGTCCAGTCAGTAAAAGACCATGCAGAAGCCGAGTCTTTTGTAACGTTACAATGAACCATTCACAAAACTACCGTTTTTCATAAGTAAAAGTGAATATTTTATTGATATTTCTCACCGAAATTCAAGCTGTCGGGCAAACGTTCAGGTAACGTTTGTTGCTACCGTATGTTGCTATCATATTATAATGGTAGCAACATACTAAAAGTGGCTTTTCCTCAAACAACACAAACAGGATTTTTCTAGTCAGTTCACAAGCTCGACTAACTTTTAACACCACTTTAACCTTCCCATAACCAACAAAAACGCTTTAATTTTAAAACACAACATGAGAAAAACGTCTTACCGATTTCCTTTGTTTGTTTAGGATCGTGAACATCATCTCTACTTAGAAAAAAAGAGTGATTATCTTTCCAAAGACCCGCCGTTGACGAGATGTACCGAAGAGCGCGCGCTTAACTATGCTGCGTCACTGATGACGAGGGCACAGTAGCACGATGGGACTGGGAGGGACAAATAATGGCGCTCATCTCTAACGTGCTTATTATTATAATATCATAATTTAATCAGGTAATGTTGCTGAAAAGATTAATTGTATTGTATCTGCATCTATATGACGAGAAACGCGTTGCTCCGAACCCTTATGTGAATATGCAGTGAGCATGATTGGCTGTATGTCACCAACCATTATTCACTTTAATCACAGTAGCCCAGCTCTTACCCCCCACCAGGAACACAGTCAAATTCATTCAAGCAGAACAGATGCGTCCCCACACTGTCTATATCAATATTTTAGGTGGTACATTTTGAAGCAGTAGCAGATAGATAGTTCATGATCATCAAAAAACGTTTTAGTTGGGCTACTTTTACTTTTTATGGTTTGTTTTCATGACGGTTTAAATTGTTTTTGAGCTCTCTCTCTCTCTCTCTCTCTCTTCTCTCTCTCTCTCTCTCTCTCTCTCTCTCTCTCTCTCTCTCTCTCTCTCTCTCTCTCTCTCTCTCTCTCTCTCTCTCTCTCTCTTCTTTCTTCTGTTAAAAATATCAAGGATTAGCTATGTTAATTTTATTTCAATGTAGGCTATACTTTCAGGTCAAATTGAACATGCAGTTTTAAAAAAAGAGGCCAATAAAGAAGACTGTAAGGAGTATCGCTGTACAAAACAATTAGCAGTAGATGTCATGTTCCCTGTGATGTCATTTTGCATTTTGTTCCACTTCTTCTGTGGAGATCTGTATTATGTAAGCACCTCGTCATCGGCACAAGTGAAGCGCCTCCACCTCGGCCTGCTGTCTCCATGGTTTGCAGCCACTTAGAAAAGGAAACATGAATATAGACAGACATGCCTCCTCTTGCCTTCTCTCTATGGATCTCTGCAAACTTGTTCAGCTGAGCATGGGTTACATAAGGCACTCAGCTGAACCATGTTTTTACAGCATAAGTCACTAAGCTCACATCACAGATGATACAGTCTGCAGATACACAATTAATCTGATGAATGTTTTTATTTGCAGTTATTATTGTGTATAGGCTCGTATATATCTCAGTGTGATAGAGAGGAAGATAAAATTTTTTGTCAAGGAATATAATAATAATACTCACAAACTCTGCGATTTTAAACTGAGCTCTATGGAAATTAAATTTAATTTAATTTTATAATTTAGAGACAATAGTGCAGTATCATCATCTTAATTTAATAGTAGTATCATCGTCTTAATTTGATTTAATTTAATGATTTAATTTAATTTTATAATTTAATTTAATAATTATTTTTTATTTTATTTTTTATTGTGTTTATTTTTTAAAGTGTTTATCTCTTCCCTTGCAGTGTCTTTCTAGTTTGTATTTGTGTCATATCTTTCTGGTAGATTTCTGCACCACTGTCACCTTGAACTTTCTCACTTGGAATTGGCTGTGTTGCACTATGTCTCTAAAGCTGGTTTGGAAGTGATAATCATTATGAAAATGGTAGGCTATAGAAATAAATGTAATTTAAAATGATTTTTATTGGCATAAAGAGAAGTTCTAATAAAAAAAAATTTGTTTGTAAAAAAATAAGTTCTACCTTTAGTAGAATAAGAAATTAAATTAAACAAATAAAAGCCAATTCTTTTCTTTTATATTTTAGGAAGGCACCCCTCACCCATAGGTTTATTTTGCCATACTGATAGGCCGACTATATATTGTCCCTTACATTGTAAACATGGAACCAGTAAAAAGTGCTTTTGTTACACAAGCCATTTAAGTTTAGTTATAATTGTGTGAAAATGTTGAGCACTTATGTCTCCATAGCAGCTGCCACACACTTAACATTGCTTGTTAGAAAACAATGCCAGTTCCCTTGTACAACACAATGGGCCAATAAAGCCCCTCTGCTGCTTCTGACAGGTGACCCATCTTAGATCTATACGCACCTGTGGCATGACAACAGCATATAATAATTCTCAGATAGTCTTGAGCCACGCTTGTATAATCAAGACTTCCTAAGACTCAGGAATAGTTTTATTTTAGTAATACAAGTTTGTCATTGCTCTAATTAAATTCAGCTGTAAGTTACAATATTATTATTTATAAAAACACACTGGCGATTTTTATGTTTGTTTGGAAGCAACTAAGTATTCAGGTATTTTGTATTAAATAAAATAAATGTAATAAATTATGTAGGCTACTAGATGTATAAAATGTAAAATATGTCATTAGAAAATATAAAGGAAGGCATGGTTCATGGTTTTATTGTCCATATTGTTTTTTTATTTTATTTGGACAAGGCACAATCAACTTGTCAGAACATTATCACTATGTTGTCATTTAAATTAGCTTTTTGCAAATGTCGGTGATAACAATATGTCATTGCCATTTACAACAAAGAAGTTATCAACAGACTTTAGCTTATTCATGAAATCAATAAATGTTTGTGATTAAATATACAGTCTGGTCTTATTTTTGGGAACAGACTTAAAAGTTTTAATCCTTTTGTTTGAAATCTTGGTTTTGATCATTTGGATTACATTTTAATGCAAACAGCAGCAGCGTGTTGCTGTATTTTGTAAGACTATATTTAATTCATAGTTATCCACCCACTCTGGTTCTTAGTCTTATATAAGATAAATGTCATTTTAAACCTCTTCTCTCTACAATATTTTTGGATGCATTGGTTTCTAAGAAATCAAAATAAACTTGTTATGCCTTTATAGCTTTAGATCAATGACCTGGAATAAGGACAGGGTGATTCATTCCCATGAAATCACATACCCATAAATCTTTAACTTCATTATCAGTATTTTCTAAGAATATAAGACTCCACAAGCATCTTCATTGATCTTTGAACTTGTACATGGTGCCACTTCTTGTGACCCACATTTGCAAATTTAAATGAGATGATATGAGTCTTTGCATGAACCAGAGATGGCTCTGGTATGATCAAAGTACACAGAAGCATGTAAGTGCAAGGGAAACAGCGCCCCCTTGTGGTTGCTATGAAAAGCATAAGTGGACTACATGCACGTGCTCGACTCTCATACTGCGATGTCTGCATAGTATCTCTTGCGTTTAGCTGCAAAAATAGTAAAGTGTGGAAAGTCCTGTAGGATATGTACACAGCCTGAATATTGAAAATGTATCATAATGTAACTTTTTTCCCCCAAAGATACCCGTTTTTGGAATATAATATATGACAAATATGATCTTTTTAATCTACACTGAGTTTGCAGGTGCGGATGTTTTTCTACTTCATATTACTTTATTTCTACTTCATACTTTATATAGTTTTTCTACTTCAGCGGTTTCTACTATTTTACTGTTCTCTGCCATCTGGAAATTATACCGTTTTCAGATTTAATGATTTTCATTTTAAAGATAGCTACTTCCAATGTATTGCACGCTACATAAGAAGCAACAATATTTGTTTCACACACACCAGTGTTATTTTAGTATCATTGAGATACAATTTTAGTTCTTAATATTTAGAATGTTTAGTTTTAATTTTATTTAAATATTTTTTAAGTTTACGTTTTTAGAATGATAGTTTTTAAAATGAGAAATTTTGCCTTGGCAACTAGCTAAAATAAAATGTTTTTAAGTATATATATTTTTTTTATTTCAGCTATATATTTTAAGTAACAAACGTTTTCTATGGTTTTGGTTTAGTTAAAAATAACACCCCAGACGAACAACAGTAAAAAAATATATAAAAACAGTGTAGAAAACATCTCCTCCTACACACCTCAAATAGGTCTTCGGGTTTGCACATTTAATCAACACAAATGAAAAAAGAAGAAGACTGTATTCATTTAATTTATTTTTCAAAAGGACCATACAATATAAAAGGAACATTTTTATAAGGCAGTTGGTAAACTAGGCTAGTTCATAATTTTTGCACTTAATCAAATGATTGACTGGCGTGATGCAAACTCAACATTCACTTCGAGCCGCAAATAAACAAGTGGAGACTTCCTCAAGTTGTTAATGTATGGCTTCAAGTATGGAAAAGATAGACCACAGTGGAAGCAAAATTCTCCATTGCAGCTTGAGTGCTTGCTGCTGTGTTTGGTGGGAATTGTGAGCGTACACAAACACTTGTGTGTCTCAGAGGTTAGCTATATCATCAGCACCTGACATAAAGTCTTGAGTTCAAACTTGAGAAATTATGCTCATCATGTTCTACGATTGGTAACAGTTCAAAAATGATATGATCAAAATATACATAAGCTTGGACAATTTGAATAATACTCAGCGTTATAAAATTTTTAATTCATCGTTTTTGTAAAGAGTACAAAAACACACTAATAATAATCAACAATTATGACAATCAAAACCTTTTTGGCAACTTAAGAAAAGTTATTCCCTTTTTTCTGTTTCTTAAAATGTGATCCCGTTGTGATATGATGGAAACATGCATGAATTCCTGAAGGGATTGTGGAGGAAAAATAAGCACTCTGATCACATACAAAATGAGCTGGAAATCTCCCTCTTGAAAGCACAGGCATTCAAACAAGGCTAGATTCAACAACCAACTCTAGAACTAATACATTATGCAGTGCATGCAAGTAGGGAAAAAGCAAATACTGATGTTGGCGTGTTCCATAGACCAGCTCTGATGAGGAAGAGAGTGTAAAGAGAACATCCTCTACAAACTAAAGCTTGATTAACTTCTTCACCCAACTATAAAAATGCTGTTATCATTTATTCACCCTCATTTTGGTTAAAACCTGTACGAGTTTCTCTCTTCTGAGGAACACAAAAGAAAACATCTTTGGAATGTTGTTTGGACTCAAATGTTTTTTTCAAAAATCATCTTTTGTGTTCTACAGAAGACAGAAAGTACAGATTTGGAGTGATATGAGAGTGAGTAAATGAAGATAGAATTTTTATTTCTGGGTCAACTGTTCCTTTAAGTAAAACAAAAAAAACAACACACTCCAGAGTGCCATCATGCATGATTGCAATAACATGACTGCGTAATGATTTAGTCATGTGATTACATGTACTGTTTGTTCTGCTCTGTTGAGACGTTTACATCGGGACAGGAATGAGAATGTGAAGAGGACGAGTAAAGAGACGTTTCCTTTGATAATAGCTAAAATGTCTGTGCTTAAGATCTACTGAGGTCAACAATAACATTTTCTCATCACCCTTCTGTTAACACAGATCCAAGGTGCTTATCTTCACTGCAACAAATCCAAATGGGACTGTAATGTTTGATCGGTTTTAAAAAAAAAGTGAGAGGTGAGTGACTGGACATCCTCCACAGTTTGGCAGAGTGGGCAGAAACCAGACCACGAGGGCTTGTGCCAGCCAGTACCTCCACCAACCCTGCCACGGCGCTGAGGTGCTGAACATTACACGGTCTTCCTGGCCGTGAGCACTCTGACGATAGAGCCCACTCCACCTGCTGAGAGAGCCTATGCAGACAGACACACAGACACGAGTGAATATAGCCAGAATGATCATTTTTAGGTGAACCATTCCTTTAAAAAATGTGTTTACCTTTTCATGCCACTGAAGTAGGATGGCACTACTGTTGTCAGAGGGTTTTTCAAAGCCCTTGTAGATGTACTTCATGAGCAGATCGACTCCAGTCTTATCCAGAGACTGAACAGCCTTTTCTATATCGCTAGCCTTGAAAGAGCTGAGCACTTTCAGCACGAGGCCTTCAGCCCGGTCCTGGACACACACACACACACACACACACACACACACACACACACACACACACACACACACACACACACACACACACACACACACACACACACACACACACACACACACACACACACACACACACACACATATATATAAATATATAATGAACTACCCTTGGCAATAAATGAGTCATTTGAGATGATTATACACCTCTAATCTTGGCCATCCAAACAAGAGAATTTTAAGCGAATATAGAAATGCCATTAAATGTATATTTGACATACATACAAATATTTTACAATACTTCATCAACATCGATAAATATTATGAGCTATATTTATTTATAATACATAAAATATATACAATAAATAGAATTATTTGCACTATTATTAATATACATTTACTATTGTTATTCATTATCATTATCTTTGTTTTGTATTTATTGTTGTAAAGCACTGCACATTAGTCAACTTGTGTTGTTTTTAATGGTGTTATATAAATAAAATTGTTAAAAAATTGAAATATCAATATTTGGGTTTTAGCTTAAAAAGAAATGTATTTTGTGTTACTAGTAGTAACCTGTATCTAGATGTATGGGCATTATGTTACACTGTAACAGCCAATTAATTTGTTAATTGCAATTATTTGTATGACAATTACTTGCTAGCCAAATATTTGTGATTAAAACAGCCATAAGTAAAATTGTCAAGATTTGTATTAATTTTCATGACTTATACAAGTCTGGAAATCATAATTGGAAATTCCCTAATACTTTAAGGTTTTCTGTGACCATGTAAAGCCTGTAAATAGACTTCTGATGTAATGAGTAAAAATTTTAGTCTGGGACTAGCTTAAGCTTTGTCTGTGAAACTGGGCAAACTGATTTAAATAAGACAAAACAAGCATAAGGTAAAAAATAAAAATAAACAACTATTTCTTATACAACTGTTTTTTTTGTGTGTGTGAAAAGCTTAATAAATGAGGTAACCTAGGTTTAGAAATATGATATTTTTCTAGACCTGGAAAACTGATCATGTAAATTAATAAGTGTGTATAACTCTTTGTGCATTTTTTATTGATTTTTATAGTTAAACCAAGGTCTAAAATGTGAGTAAAAAAAAAAGTGTTTAATCCTTATTCAGTAAATCATGAACAACTGGAAAAATCACGGGGACTTCGAATAGTGTTGGGGAAAACCATTGGTAGGGAATAATAATGTTAAAAGTTTAACATGACCCATACTTCAGAGTGATTTGACTTTTACTCACCTTCACATTCTGGTTCTTTGTATTGATGGGTGGATTCTTCAGTACTGCCTGCAAAGCCCCCATCAAGTTACCTGTATCAGGCACTAAGGAAAGCACAGCAGGATGCCTGAAATAACATCTCCTCACTAATAACATTCACTCTTAATCATCACTAATATGCATTAAATTATAATTGTCACTATGCTACCATTATAAGCTCCAGGAAACTATATGTTATTATAAAGTATAAAGAATTAAAAAGCCACTTCAGGATTTCAATCTTGCAACCGGAAGTCGATGGCATCCGGAAGTGTTTCTACAACAACACCATTCTAAGTAATTGCCACCACATCTATATAAGGCACAGCCTTATGAGTTACACTCTTTAAACATTATAGCCGCAATTTTTTCGGTTTTAAAAGACCTTAAATACTTGAATCCGCAATGCAAACTTGTGATGACAATGTGAAATATGCCCGTCTTAAATGAATGAAGCGACTGACTACCACACCCATGTCTGGACGAGAGTACAACAATAATACATTTTAGAAATTTAACGCCAACACATCAAGTGTATTAGAAAACGACAAGTCAAAACGCCATACTACAAGTAAGCAGGAAATCTATGAAAAGTAACCATAAAAGTAAATGGACTGAAAGGATATGATCTGATGAGAGAATCCACCTCAGCCTCATCCGGACCTATTTGATTTTCTCCCCCGTCCTCCTCGTCGACGAACTTGTTTTCGTCGTACTCATCTATATCAACCTTTCTGAATCGATCAGACACTGTGTTCTTCGACATGGCTGGTTCGATCAATCAATTAGAAAATGCCAGTTTATGCGGAATAGTCCCAGCACTTTCAGGAAGCAGCTCGGTGCTTGTTGACTTCCGCATAGAAAGCCCTCTAGTGTCTGTGGGCGGAATCAACACCTACACGTGTCATCTCATGTCACCCAATCAAATCATTTAGTTTTTATTTTAATTAGTTAGATTAGAACTTTTGCACCTTTAAAATAAAAATCTTTATAACTGCATAAGTGTGCACACCCCTGAACTAATACTATTGTGTAATTTAAAGCAATTGACTCCCAGTTTAGTAATTTTTTACAATTTGGGTGGGACGTTGTTTGAACCTCACTCTTTTTAGTTTCAATCAGTGAAATTAATAGTTAACTCTTTTTATTCTTAATAATGTAGTCCAGCGCTGCATTATTATAGTGATGATGTGTTACTGGATCACAGACAAGGCCTAAGCTATGGTTCCAGAGTAATGCATTATTGAGCTGTTTTAACTTAAAGCAACTTGCACAGACAGATCTTAAAATATGTCAGTGTCATTGTTTTGTCTCAAGATGCACACACCAGTAATGTTTTTTTTCTAAGGCACGTTTATAAAAGCTACTTAAATGCCCTAATTGAACTATAAGGCCTAATCCTGGATTAATTTAGCCTAAGCTCTGTCTGTGTGTGAAACCGGGCCAGTACTTTAGTCATACACGAGCTAATACCAAAGTCGTCTTTGGTTAATACTGAGTAGGCCTAATTGGGATTTATATTTTTTCCAGCAGTCCAGCAGATGGCGATACAGGCTAAATTAATGCGTTTCCAAAGTTGAAAAGCGCCCATGCCATTCATTTTGGCTAACAAAAGTAATGCCAAAATGTCCTACCAATGTGTTAGGGGAGATAACAGGGTGTACGTTGGCGGATTAACCACATGGGCAAGTGCCCAGAGCAGTGGCGGATGCTCTTTGGTGCCCCTGGGCACTGACACCTAGACACCTGATTTTACTTCAATGAAAGGTTAGATTTGTGCTATTTTTAATAAAATATTTAATAAAATATTTATTTTTTACAGCCATCTTTGATCATATTTACCAAGGGAGCAAAATTCTGACCAGCACTGTGAGTAGGCCTACTGTACTTACACTTTTTGACTAGGCTATCTGTACTTTGATAGGCTATTATTTTTTCTGGAAACTTTTTACTTTAACTTCACTACATTTGAAAGACAAATATTGTACATTAATTTTTTTTATTTTTTTATATATCTTTATTTAATAAGAAATAAAATTTACAGACCCAAATCTACAGAGACACTACATGCTTATACATTCATCCTCACATTCATACCCCAAAAACATACATGAGAAAAGGTTTCATATAATTATAATAAACATAGAATATTATTCCATTGTTTGTTATATTCATCTAATTTATTGTTGCTTTCTGCTATTATCTTTTCTAAAAGAAGATGCAACCTTATAACATTCTTAAAGTAACCTAAACGCAAGCATGATGATAGTTTTGTTTTAAAAATAAACATTTTCCCTATTAATAAAATGGTATTTATCACAAGCACAATAGTTTGAGGTGTTATGGTAAATTCCATTCTAGCTGTCTTTAACCAAACTTGGAGACTTGACCAAAATGTATATACTACTGGGCAAAAGTAAAATAAGTGCCATAGGTCTTCCTCTTCTTCCTCACAAAATCTGCAATATGGATTATTTTCAATGTGATATAAATATAACTTTTTTTTAGTTGCAATTATCTTGTAAAAATTTAGTTGGAATATTCTTGAATATGAATCTACAGTAGTGTTATAAATTGATCTAAAACATTCTTTCCATGGAATTGATACATTGATTTCATCTTCCCAGTACTGGCAGACCCTGTGAGGAAAAAGTGCAAATCCTGCAGAATATAACTTCCAATTGTAAATAATTTTATTTATTTTTATATTATGTAACCATTTCCAGCATCGTACTTTTGGGAGACAAACCAATTGCTTGTGTTTATTTTGTATTTTTTGTTTCCAGCCAACAAATATTGTACTTCACTACAATTCTGCCAAGGTCCTTGAGTAGAAAGTAGTAACGTCAGTCAGGGGATGATTTTGGTTGGAAAATAAAGTCGGGTTGATGTCAGAACCGACATCGGATTGATGTCGGCATCCAACGTCGGACATACGTTGGATTTTGGTTGGAAATGAAAGTCTGGTTTCTGACGTCAACCCGATTTTCTTTTTCAACCACACTACGTCTGTCCAACGTTGGAGATTAATGTCAATCTGACATTAATCTCAACGTTGGGTTTGGTCTTCTAAATGCGAATTTTGTCATTGTTTTGGAGCACACTAGCTTATATATCTTTAAAAAAAACTTTAAATAGGGCCCCTGATAGCACACGTACATCACAGAGACGTCTATTTGATGTGTGTGTTTACATCTGGAAGACGTATTTTTTAGAGTGTTTGCTCATCTGCAATATGTCTATGACGTTTCCTGTCAGATGTCAAATAGACGTTTAGAAGATGTCTTTAAGATATTGTCACAGGTCGGGGGGGCCAAGCCAGACTGCGCCCACCCCTCAAACCCAGGAGCACCTCGAGGAGCGTACCAGAGACCAGGCAGACAAGAAGAATTTCTAAAAGTAACAATCTTTATTAAATAAAAGCAAGAATTAAAAGTCTTAATGCGGGCTTCGTCTCTCTTTCCAGGGAGGAGGAGGCCGAGGGGTTCACTGCGAGGGCCCGGGTTACTGGCAGCCACAGAGGAAGAAGGAGTCGAACGCCCGTCCGGCGTGCAGGTAAGTAACGTGGTAAGTAGACTCTTTTCGGCATAATATAGGCGGGCAGCGACCCGGGCAGACCAGGGCCGGGGCCACGGGCCAGGAGGGGACTCTCTCCACAGGACAGGTGGGTAGCAGGTAAGTTTTTCCCAAGCGTCAGCTATTCGGTAGATGACCGGCACAGGGGGCGAAGGAGTCCAGGAGGGGGACTCGCTGCCGGCCAGGTAGGTAGTCGGGTAGGCAGATCACCTCTGTGTAGGGTGCTCTCCTCCGGGGCGTCACTGAGCAGCAGGTGTGAGGTCCTCCGGGTGCCTTTCCGCCCTTGACGGCTCCAGCCAGAAACAAGGGTCCCCTCTAATCCAAGATAGAGACAAGTTTGCAGGTTCAATTCTGTTTCGGTGAAGTAAGGACTTACGGCTGGAGCGGGTGGTTCTGAACAAGCAGCGTTGCTGCTGGGATGTGTCTCTCCTCTGAACAGGCAGCACACAAGAAGGCCGAGGCAGACGAATCTTTTATTTAAATAGACAAAGCCTTTGATACAAGAACGAACATGATCCTTTCGTATAATGGAGAATTGGCTTACGGCTGGACTGGGTTGCTCCACACAGGCACTAGGGCTGGGATGTGTCTCTCCTCCGACCAGGCAGCACCCAAGAAGGCAGTGGCAGGAGAATCTTAAATAGACGGAGCATTTGATACAAGAACAAACATGATCCTTTCGTATAATGGAGACTCAGGCTTACGGCTCGGTGGTTCCCACGGCAACACTAAGGCGGGGGTGTGTCTCTCCTCCGAACAGGCAGCACACACGAAGGCGGTGGCAGAGGAACGTTCTATTTAGATAGACAAGACAAGTTAAACAGGACAATCACACTCCTCTCTCATATCACAGGACCTGGTGGCCGAAATGGAACATACACATTCAACCTGAGGGCTTTGCTCCGCAAACACTGGGCGAGGACGTGAACTGGAGAGTACTGGCGGTTAAATAAACGTGTACATCCACACACTGCAACTTCACGTCAAGTCCAATACTGTGTGACACTTCAATTCAGGCACCGCAATCCACTCTCAAATCTTCGTGCAATAAGGCCAGCACTCACCCACTGTTCAATCCCTCCACTGTTGCGCTGGATCAACACTCAGAAGCTGAAGAGATGCAGAGGACTTCACACCGCATGGAACACAGCGTCTTCAACACTCTTTCACACTCAGAAGAAGATATCAGGGTTTCACGGATGAATCAGTTCACACTCTTGGTGGTAATTATATTTGTGGTCAATACACTTCACAATTCCTCATTCAGTTCAATACACGGCATGCATTCACACGGATCTGGTGTTTCCTTACTTATCTTTCTCTCTCGAGTGATGACATTCTCCAATCTTGACTCAATCTCCAAAATACCCTCACTTCACATCCAATTCACGTTCCAGCTTGTACTCCCACAATCACCGTTGCACCCCTTTCCAGTCAGATCCTCACAGCCGCTCCAAAGATCCCAGCAAATCCAAGCCACTGCCAAAAGAATCGATTTCTCCCGGGGGAGTACCACACCCGAATGCCTTTTCCTTTTCCTTTTAACTGCTTCTCTAGGCCGTGTTTCCCAATCACAAATCCCCACACCAAACGCCCGCACCTGGTACCGCTTAGCTAATCAGCTGCCACTGTCATGGCAACTGACAACAAGCAAACCAGCACGGTGTGTCAGTGAAATCGTCCCGGGGGGGAAACACACTCCTAGCGGAAATTGGTTCCACTGGATTTGTCACCTTGTGACATACCCCCCCACCAAACCGTTCTAGTCCCTAGAACGGGGCTCGGCCACCCAGTCTCCGTACCGTGTTGGGGGCTGGCCTCGATTACCCCTTTGTGATCGCCTCGGCGGTGAGGCAGGATCTACTTGGCGCGGCTCTGCGCCCAGTCCCCTTGGGACCACTGCCCAACCCAACAGCAAGGGCATCGATGGTGTTTCAACCGGGGGGTTTCTCTCTACTGGTTTCGGGTAATTGGGACACGGGCGGATCAAATTCCGATGTAACACTCGCTCTGGGCCAGCTCTCCCTTCGGGACGAATGGCATATACAGGCTGGTCTGGGCGAGGTTGCCGCTGTACCACGTATGGTTGGGACTCCCAGCGGTCGCTCAGTTTACCCTTCCCTTGGCGGCGATTGTCCCTTACCAGTACTCTTTCTCCCGGTAGTAACGTTGCCTCCTGGGCTGTTCGATCATACAGCCTCTTATTCTTGACTGCTGCTTAATTTATCCGGCCTGAGACCTGTTTGTAGGCGGTGTGAA